CATCTTGCAGGCACAGAGATAGCATTGTTCTTTTAATCGTCATTATTTACTTCTTAAATCTTAGTCTCTCTCACACCTAAACCTATGCAGCTCAGGACTCAGTTCTTATGACTAGAGAGTTGTCATTCTGACCAGTAAGCCTGCTAAATACAATTCTGTAAGCTTTAGAATTGACATAGCAGATACATTTGTCTCCCCTGACATGACTATATTAATCCGCCAAATCAATTTACTTAAGGCTAAGCTGTGTTGTGGAGTAATGCGGCCATGATTTCACTGAGCTTACAGGCACTTTCAGCCTGAGTCTCTTCTCCACATGTAATGCAGCTCTCAGTGCTGAACCACGAGCTCTATGCTGACCTACTGCTACTATGTAAGAAACTGTCTTGTTAAGTTTTTAGAGTCGTGATGCTGTAACATCAGAAAGAATTTAAGGAGAATAAATTCAAGTCACTTTAGAAAATCATGAAGTAAAACAGTAACAACACTTGGCTCGATTCTATAAGCACAATTTTCTTACTTTAGTATTGATAAAACTCTTTCAGTTGCCTAAAGTTTTTCCTCTAGAAATTTATTTATAAAAATAACATATTTTAGAGAAACATTAAATATAGGTGCTGGTGCTGCAGTTAGTAGGCTGAACATTATATAAGCTATAGAAGAACAGTAACAGACTTAAATTATTCAAGATGCAAAGAAGTCTAAATATAGCACACAAGCCAGTATACAAAAGAAGTCTCATAATGTTACTAAGTTTAACAAAAACTTACAAAATTTTATTAAAATTTCTATAGGCATGTATAAGTTGTCCATAGCACATTATCAGTTTATTTATACCCTCCTTTCATTTTATTAAGTCTATTCTTTTTCATTCCTTCTTTTAAAACTTCTGGCCCTTTCACTCTTTCATTTGGCATATAATACCCTCTAGATCCAGCTATACAATTTTAGTTATATGTGAAAGCTAAAGAGTACAAACAAACAAACACATTTACAGACACAAAGAGCAGACTGATGGTTGTCTGAGGGGTGAGGTTTGGAAGACTTCCCGAAAAGGGTCAATGGGTTAAAAAGTATATATTCATAGTCAAAAAATAGTCATGGGAAATGACATTGTAATGGCTATATGGGGTGCCAGCTGGTATTTGAGATAGGGAAGGGGAGGAATTTTGTAATGTACATGATTATCTATCCACTATGCTGTACACTTTAAACCAATATAAAGTAGTATTGAGTGTAAACCGTAATTAAAAACTAACATTTAAACAAACTTCTGCCCCTTGCAGACTTTCCTTCAAGCTTACCATAGTTACCCACATTTTTATTTTCCCATATCTCTATTCAGAGATATCTCTTTCTGATCACCTCTCTTTGCTTTATTTCATCCTTACAAGTCATGCATTATCACCGATTTGTTCTTCCAGAACCTGAATCGTTTATCTTTCCTCCCATTTCTCACTATTTAGTCTTATAGACGATAATTCCTGGCATATTTGCTGTTTTAGAGAGGAGACATCTGCGGGAAGATGTCACCATTGATAAGATGTGGTGAATGAACACAATTCTTAACATTGGATTCCTTAGTGGAGGTGTAGGGATTTTAAGTATTTTTATTGCTCTTTCCTAATGATTGAAGAGTCTCAAAGAATAATGATCCATTAAAAAATAAGCAAATATTTGGCAAATCATGTAGTTGAATATCCTAGAGAAGCCCCTGAATGTATTTGGTCATTAAGAAAAGAAATCATGCCCTAGCTGATTTGGCTCGGTGGAAGAGCCTCGGCCTGGGGACAGGAGGGTCCCAGGTTCGATTCTGGATAAGGGCACATACCTAGGTTGCAGGCTCCTCTCCGGCTCAGGCCCTGGTCAGGGCTTGTGCAGGAGACAACCAATTGATGTATTTCTCTCACATTGGTGTTTCTCTCTGTCTTTCCCTCTCTCGGAAAATCAATGAAATACATACATATATATATATCTCCTTGGGTGAAGATTAAAAAAAAGAAGAAAAATCATTTCTGAATAATATAAGACTATGTCTTTCAGATCTTGCAACGTACTTTTGTGCTGCAAATCAAGAAGAGCTCAATATTTTCTTCTTTTTTAAATATATTTTTTATTGATTTTTTACAGAGAGGAAGGGAGAGAGATAGAGAGCTAGAAACATCGATGAGAGAGAAACATCGACCAGCTGCCTCTTGCACACCCCCCACCAGGGATATGCCCACAACGAATGTACATGCCGTTGACCAGAATCAAACCCAGGACCTTTCAGTCTGCAGACTGACGCTCTACCGCTGAGCCAAACCAGTTTCGGCAAGAAGAGCTCAATATTTTCAAAAAATCTTGCACAATGTATGTCTTCTAATTTCTTAAACGGTCAATCAGGATTCAGAGATAAGTGCACCTCAAGTAGGCCTAACAAAAAGAAACAGTAAAACTAAAAGAAGCATCAAAAAAATCTAAAATAAGCCTGGATACTTTTAATTATTTTTTTTTTGCACATGTATGTTACATCTCTATGGAACTCTGGAGGTCTCATGTCTCTATGGAATCTCTCATGAGATCTAATTCTCAAAAAAATATGGCCATATTTCTAAAATCCGGGTTCTACCATAAGCATGCATATCTTTGAGGAGTTCCAAAATACGTTTTGCCTAAGGATGTTGGGCTCTTTAAATATGGATGAGCAATTTCCCTTTCAAGTAACTCCAACTAGGAGAGAGAGAGCAGGAGTGAATGCCAAGGGCAACCAGCCTCCACTTCAGGAGCCTCCTCTTCACTCCAGGGCTTGCAGCCAGGATGGTCAGGAGCCTTCACAAGGCGGAACTGGGCCGCAAGAGCTTTTTCATGCATTCACATTTAAGAAATATTATGTTTTCTAAGAGCATCTCCTTCAGTTTATGAAAATATTAGCTATTCTTTATTAGGTCCTTCATATATGCCAACAATATCTAAGCATTTCAACTACATTACTAGATTGGATTTTATTCCAAGAGAGCAAACTTCTTCTGAGCAAAGTGTAATTATTTCTATTTTATAGACTTGGTAACTAAGATATAAAAAGATTAAGTCACTTTTTCATGCTAGGAAGTGGAAACAACTGGGGTTTGTTTCAACTGTCTGACTTGAAATCTAATGTCCTCTCCCAGGAAGCTGTGCTATGCAATATGGTGTATAGGAAACAGTGCTGTAAATTTAACATCTCCTTGAATAATTTTCCCAGCTGATATTTCCCCAATTGTTAAAAAGAAGTTAGTGATAACTAAGCCCTTTTAACTCATAAGAATATTGTGAAAACAAATCTTAAAATGAAAACGTTTTATAAGCTCTAAAGATTTATGTGAATAAAAACTAACCCAAAATTTAGACTTGCACATATCAAATACATGCGAATGTCTATTGAATTTACACTTTATCGATTCTGCCTGACTGGTGTGGCTCTGTGGTTGAGTGTTGACCTATGAACCAGGAGGTCTTGGTTTTATTCCCAGTCTGGGCACATACCCAGGTTGCAGGCTCCATCCTCAGTGTGGGGCATGCAGGAGGCAGCCAATCAATGATTCTTTCTCATCATTGATGTTTCTATATTTCTCTCCCTCTCTCTATATGAAATCAATAAAAATATATTTAAACATTTTTATTGATTCTGTGGAGTAGGCACAGTGACTATTAGATAAATATTAGGTTGTAAAGTAAAGTTAATGTCTATGCTGAAACATTAGGTGAATTAAATGACTTTTTGGCTGGTGATTTAATACATGACTATAGTGTGATGCTTTTCATACAAGACTCATTCTCATCGCCACTTTGTGGCAAGTAACAAAACTCATTTAAATGTACTAGGAAAACACTGTTTCTTAAGGCATCAAGAACAGAGTGTAGCTGAACCACATGAAGGCCAGAAAAGTAGGATATCTGTCTCCCTCTCCCTCTCCCTCTCCCTCTCCCTCTCCCTCTCCCTCTCCCTCTCCCTCTCCCTCTCCCTCTCCCTCTCCCTCTCCCTCTCCCTCTCCCTCTCCCTCTCCCTCTCCCTCTCCCTCTCCCTCTCCCTCTCTGTCTCTCTCTCTCTCTCTGTCTCTGTCTCTGTCTCTGTCTCCCTGATTCCTGTTAGCCCTTGCTGTATGGCTAATTTATTCTTGTGAGTCACTGAGAAATGGCTGTTTCTGTTTCTCATTAACACACGGTTTAAAATGGAAACCTCTACTAGGTTTACTATCTCTTCAAGTTCAAGTTTCTATGATTGTGGTACCAGTATCTGGATCACAAGTCCAAATTCTCTAGGGAGAGAATACTATTGGTCTAGCTTGGGTCAATATCTACTCTATTACAGGATCTCCTAACCTTCATTTCTATTAACATTTTTCCCCCTGAATCATTAATCTTTGTTCTGTGAGAGTGGAACTCTCCTGTACCTTGGTAGAATGCTGTTAAAACACTGCCTAAAATATTATAGCAAGTATACCTATTTCAAACAGTAATTTAATGAAAGTCCTGTTAAAATTCTTGTCAATACTTTGCCCTAAAACATTGCTTTTATGAAATAAGTTAATTTAAGTCTACTCTGATATACTATGCTTCTTCTAACCTTTTTTCAAAGACCCAGATTTGATAATACACTGTTTTGTCCAGGGAACAGGAAAACAAGTATGTACATGCATTGCTCTTGGCAGAGGAAATTGCTATACACTTTATAGAGAACAACATCTCCAAGTTGGTGATTTCTATCAAATTTCTTGCATACATATCCTTGACCCTGCAGTGACCACTTCTAAGAATTACCACCACAAATAAATTAATGCACATATGCATGAAGTGAAAAAAATCAAGGGGCATTGCAAAGCCTGCTAACCTTTGAGTGAAAGATGGGACAGATACTAGTACAACACAAGGAAGCAAAAACTCATTTCCATGTTTCTTATTCCCAGAAATCTGAAAACCATCAATTATTAAAATGACTTGACCATTTCAAGCCTCTGCTCTCTTAAGAGTGGAGCACTTACAAGTCTGGCAATGGTTCTCTGTGGGTCCCCAGCATCGGCCAGTACAGGACTTATGGCAGCGTCCACCTGCGGAAGAGGCACAAACACATTCCCATTACAATCTTTCACTCTCTGACTTTATCTCCTCTATTGAAATATTCTTGCTCCTTTTTGCGGATGTTTAAGTCATGCTAGAGTTGAAGCGTAGCTCATAAAGTGTTTGCTTAAGTAACAAAACCTGAATGTCAAATGCATGTGATGTGAAAAACAATCTCTTCCTACTCGGAATCTTCTCATCATTTTATTAAAAAAGGAAATAAACGGGTTTGTGCATTTTACTAGCTAGCAAGAAGCAAATATTTACATTAAATACATTTTACTTTGATTGCTGACCAGTTTTATGCTTATGACCTATTGTATTTGATACCATTTCTAAAGTGCATGGCTTACTGAAACCAACAATTATTAAGGATTAAGTCAACACTTACATTCAAGTCCATGAAAACAAGAATATGTTCTTATAAACACATAAAAAAAACACATCAGAATAAAAGGTTGCATACATCATTTAGATTAACTTTAATTGTAGAAAATCATCAAGAAGACCCTATCACTTGAACCTTGAGCTGGACCTGGGCAATTGGAAGAACCTCACCTTGCCCCAGTCCTTGGAATGTATATCCTAGCAGATGTCCCCAAACCAGCAGCTGTTTCCAGGGTATAACCTAGAGAGAGTAGGTGTTGTTGAGACCATCTGTACTGAATACATGAGCGAACCCTTGAAGGTCTCTATATAAACTTTTAAGATTCCAATGGGACTGTGTGGAAGTCTACTCATCTTGTGGCCATCAAAGAAAAGCTTCATAAATAAATCCCCTGGCTTACTGGTATTAAATCTGCCACCTACCAACCTGGAGTGGCCTGCCTCTTTCTTCCATCTCTCCTTGCCCTCAGTGTACAGGTCCAATGTGTGAACCAATATCAATATAAATTTTTAAAAATATATTTTTATTGATTTTAGAGAGGAAGGGAGAGGGAAAGAGAGAGAGAAACATCAACATTAAGAATCATTGATCGGCTACCTCCTGCTTGCCCCCTACTGGGAATCAAGCCTATGACCTGGGTACATTCCCTGACTGGGAATTGAACCTATGACCTCTTGATTCTGGTTGGGCTTAATATAAAATTTTTAAACAGCTAATTTTTTGGAAATCTTAATTTCACAGTTGTCTCACAGACAAAGTCCCATAAGGACTCAACAAAAGAACATTAGCTAAAGCAATTATACATAATATCTTTCTTTGAAGTTTGTTTCTGAATTTTATAAGCTCACTCTACATTTTTGTTAATACACGGGTATACAATGGGCTTATTTTTAGAATAAATAGTAGACATGAAAAATGATTAAAGATGAAAGTTTAAGCTCTGTTAATTTTCTAATATTGACTGCAAGAGGGTATATACATATGGCTAGTCAAGATGTTTATTATAACACTAGAGCCCTGGTGTACTAATTCATGCACCAGTGGGATCCCTTGGCCTGGCCTACAGAATCGGGCTAAAACTGGCTCTCCGACATCCCCTGAGGGGTCCCGAATGGGTCCTCACTGATGCACAATTGGGGCTGGGGAGGGACCCGGGAGGTTGGCCAGACATAGGAGGGCTCCAGGGCGTGTCCAGCCTGTCTTGCTCAGTCCCAATTGGCTGGACCCCAGCAACAAGCTAACTCACCAGTCGGAGCGTCTGCCCCTTGGTGGTCAGTGCATGTCATAGCGAGTGGTTGAGTGACTTTAGCATATCATTAGCAAATTACACTTTGGTTGAGCAGATGACCAAACAAACAGACACTTAGCATATTAGGCTTTTATTATATAGGATGTTGCAAAAATTATGGAATAGGGTTCTATCAAATGTTTCCATCTTTTCTTGATCCACAATGTTTACCTCTTCAAGTTGGAAGTTATTATACTTGGGCAGCTTCTCTTTCTTTCTCTCTCTCCTTACGGTACTGAGTATGTGTATTAAGTTAAATGCTTTCACAGTTAAGGAACAGGTTCAGCAGACACACTTTTTAGACTGAACCTCAGACCAGCCTCATGATTGACCCTTCCGCAAGTAAACAGTACTAATTAAGTTCATACAACAAGTAGGCTCAACTCCAGTCACCTTCCGAAAAGTGTCAGGATCCAGAGTTTATTTAAAGCAATTCTGTTTGTGAAGTGCTGCTGCTGACATCACCAGCGTATAATATCCTGTCACTGGGCCATCTGTTTATTTAGATCTAAACACATTATAACTACATCATCAAGCTCATTCTAGCTGACAGGAAAAGCACTCCATCTGGCCCGAACAATATAACTTTAATCAGTGATAACGATAATTATTATTAAAAACCTACTGGAGTTCTTTTGTACAAAGCTAATAAATCCAAATAGATTTATACCAGCGGAAATTAGAAAGTTCTGTGAAATAAAATGGGAAGCAGTAAAAACTTTTTTAAAAGTATAAACTTCTTTTATGAGAAAGCAGCTAATGTTAATGCATTTCTTCAGATGTGTCAAAATCCTTTAAATCGACCCATTACGTGGTCTGTTAACCCAAACTATCTTAAGCAGAGGATGATCTCCCATTTACTCTGTTACTTGACAAATTGTATTTGGGGCTAATAAAATATATAACTTCATTCACTTTACCCAGAGTACTCCCTGTAGCTGAGGCTAGCTGGGGGGGGGGGGGGGGAGCGCCACGGGGGGGAGCTTAGTAATATTAGACATTTTAATACTTTCAGTACTAAATTACATATATTTTTAAATATTGTTTATTGACTTTGGAGAGGAAGAGAGAGAGGAAGATAAAGAAGATAGAAATATCAATGATGAGAGAGAATCATTGATCAGCTGCCTCCTGAACGCTCCACACTGGAGATGAAGCCTGCAACCAGGGCGTGTGCCCTGACTGGGAATTCAAACTGTGGCCTCCAGGCTCATAAGTTGATGCTCAATCCTTGAGCCGTGCTGGCTGGGCAGGGTTACATTTTTGTTTAATTACTACCCCAAGACCTACTCCTAGATGCAAGAAGAAAAGGATTATGACTAAACATTTTGAATTTTCTTATGATCCTTCAGAGAATATCAAGCAATATCTATCTAATTGGCAACAAGTAATGCAGTGTCCTTCCCCTGCTCCACCCCCACCCCCCCCCTCCTTCTACACACAAAGTTTAAATAGTATAACCTTGACTGCTTTCGTGCCATTACAAGATTTTGTTGGGCAGTTTTCATTTTTCATTCATATTTAAACATAAATATCTTTTACTGCTCTACAAGGAAGCCAACAATTGCTCCTCTTCTGTCATTTCACTCTGTCTTATTTGTATTCTCTCCACCCCTTTGGCAAACCCAAAGGAGGTGATCACATCTCAGCCTTCTATTTTCCCAAATGTGCTGTGGAACCAGGAATTGAATGAGCTTCTATAAATGGCTGCTCATTCTGCACTGTCGTTCATGTCATTATCTCTAGAGCTTTGACCCTGTAGAATCTGCCCAGGCATTCAGTTCAGCATTCGTCTCCCAAACTGTGTGATACATGGCACTTGTGCTAAAACTATGTTCCCTGAGCTTTTGCAATTAAGTAAATGTCAAAATATTTTATCAAAATCTCCAACTGGAAATATTTTTGAATTAATGCATTTGCCACACTTTCATGCCTGCAACCTTGCTTTGATTCTTGTATATTATACAATTGGTTAGTGTAGTTTTATGGACTATTACGTTTACTGTTTTAAAATCTGTTTGTAGCTTTTAGTTCCAAACATTTCTGTAACACGAAAGTGTCAAAAAATGAGAGGTTAAAAAAAAAAAAAGTGTTTCCTTAGTAATTATCTAACATTAGGAAAAAACACCTATAAACTTTTTTTTCTTACCTTCCTTCTGTCCTCCTATCCATAAGTATTTCTTGAGTACCTTCCACGTTTATATATTAAGAACTATGTTAAAAATTGAAATACGTAACATAGGCTGAAATAGGCATGGTTACTCCACTAATAGAGTTTAGAAATAATTCAGCAATATTTTGAAGGGAATTTTTTTTTGACTGTTCTATATCCAACAGTCACTATCTATGGGTTTAAGGAAAGAAGTCAGTAAATCTGAGTGCTTCACAGACCCATAACTCTGGAAAGAAGAGAAGGACAATGCCAGGTTGAGCTGGGGCATTTCCAATGCCTGCTGGCTCAGAAGTCTCCACATTCCTTATCCAATGATTTATCCTTTGCCATCTACAGTGAAATCGGTTCAGAACATAATCAGCGGAGAGGAAAGTACAACCTCTGGAGCATCCCTTGCGGGTTGCCTAACAAAAAGGGAAATGCTTTCACTATTGCTGGAGATCTTACCCAGCACTTGTCCTCTATTCTAAGATACACAGTACTTCAGGAGGCCTGATTTCATGAGGGAAATAAGTCATATACAACACTAATATTTTTAACATGAATCAGTTTTATAAACTACTTCTCCAGTATCGATAGAATATATATATATATATATATATATATATATATATATATATATATAATATATATATTGAATATATTATATATATATATATATATATATATATATATATATATATATATATATCTGGTTTCAGGGATAAAGTGAGAGGGAGAAAGAGATAAATAATGATAGGAGATAATCATTGATCAGGTGCCTCCAGTGCCCTGACTGGGAATTGAATCGTGATCTCCTGGTTCATAGGTCCATGCTCAACCACTAAGACGCACTGGCCAGACTCTAGTAGTGCATGTTTAAGATGAGGACAGCAAAAAGAGGGATGAGCCTCTGTAAATAGGAGAAATGCTTTGGGGCACTAACACTTTGCCAGTGCTATACACATCTGCCTACTTCCAAGTCCAAATCAAATTATTGTCTATTGCAATAATTCTTTTTAAACTATGTGAGAAAATATGTCGATTAAAAATAAGAATCTGACTGTCCAGTATAGATGTTAGTAATGGCAAACATTTAAATTAATTAACATTTCCATCTCCTGTCATTCTGGCTCAATCGGAGAGGTAAAATATAAAATAA